CCTGGTCTAGACCTGGTCTAAAATCAGGAGTAAACCAGGTCTAAAATCAGGACTAAACCAGGACTAAACCAGGACTAAACCAGGACTAAACCAGGTCTAAACCAGGACTAAACCAGGTCTAAACCAGGTCTAAATCAGGACTAAACCAGGACTAAACCAGGACTAAACCAGGACTAAACCAGGTCTAAACCAGGTCTAAACCAGGACTAAACCAGGTCTAAACCAGGTCTAAACCAGGCAGGTCTAAACCAGGTCTAAACCAGGTCTAAACCAGGACTAAACAGGTCTAAACCAGGTCTAAACCAGGACTAAAACCAGGTCTAAACAGGACTAAACCAGGACTAAACAGGACTAAAACAGGACTAAAACCAGGACTAAAACCAGGACTAAACCAGGACTAAACCAGGATTAAACCAGGACTAAACCAGGTCTAAAACCAGGACTAAACCAGGATTAAACCAGGACTAAACCAGGTCTAAACCAGGACTAAACCAGGATTAAACCAGGACTAAACTAGATCTAAACCAGGACTAAAACCAGGTCTAAACTAGATCTAAAGTAGATCTAAAACCAGGCCTAAACCAGGTCTAAAACCAGGACTAAACCCAGGACTAAACCCAGGACTAAACAGGACTAAACCAGGACTAAACCAGGACTAAACCAGGACTAAACCCAGGACTAAACCAGGACTACTAAACCAGGTCTAAACCAGGTCTAAACCAGGTCTAAACAAGGACTATACCAGGACTAAACCAGGACTAAACTAGGACGAAAACAGGACTAAAACAGGATTTAACAGGACTAAATCCTGCTGTGTGGACGTGTCTCTTCTTCTATCAATAATATTTTTAACTTGGTTCAGTAAAGTCTGGGCTTTTTATTTTCTTTTAGCAAACAAACCATTTTATGTTGCGATATCTTAGTCTTTGCTTCTCTACAGCAAATCAAGTAATCCAAAGTATTCAGATTACATTACTCACTTTAAGTAATTTAATGGATTCTGTTACAAACTACATCTGTAATCTGTAGGGGATTACATTTTAAAAGTCACCTTCCCAACACTGCCTACAGTAGGGCATTAAACATGTCTCTCTTCCATTTGTTCAGTGACGTGTGTATTATAGCTCAAATAAAACCTTAAAAACATGAATTCTTACTATGTGCAGGATTTAACTTCAGAATAACTTCAGTGTTATGCCTAAAAAGCATCATTTCTGTGTTAAATCATTGTAATTGACCCAAGAAAATACACAAAATTAACTAAAAATGTGCAGGTTCGCTTCTCCATAGATCTAAATAACATGTCTCAACTGTGGTGACCAAGTTTTTTATTTCCACACTGTAGAATAATCCAGGAAAAACAGTAATATCTCCAGCAGAAAAGTTACAAAATGCACCTTTATCTCAACAATACCACTGACCCTCACCGTCTTCTCCTCCAGCGTTCGCTCCCATCCCGTTCGGAGGCCTGTACCTGCCTCTGGAGGTTCCCCCGAGTCGCTGCCACTGCTCCCCCCTGGTCCTGGCCTACGACCAGGCTCACTTCTCCGCCCTGGTGTCCATGGAGCAGAGGGACCAGCAGAGAGAACAAGGTAAAAAAAACAAAAACAAAACAAAAAAACACTATTATTCTACTTTTATATCTCACCAGGACTGTTTAGACTCAGACTTAGACGAACTTTATTGATCCACAAGGGGCAAAGTCGCTCACACATCACAAAATATTACAATAACAAAGAGTGAAAATATAAAAATCGTAATAAAAATTCTAAATAAGTAGCAAATATAGCAAGAGACTAGTGTCAAATAAGGCATAATTATATAAATGTAAACTGCTGTGACCTGCTGCAGCTCTCAGCCGCTCAGGTCCGAATTAAATTAATCTGTGTTTTATTTTATTTTTTATTTTTTTAGTTACCTTGTTTTTATTCATATTTTCTGTGATATAACAACAATCTTCATCAACCAGACGTCAACGCAACAATAATATTTAACAAAAATTACAACCAGAGTAAGAAATGCTGACCAAAAAAGGAGACAAAATATAAGAATAATTTAAAAAAAACTAAAATAGGACAAACCAGTAAGCAGGACCAACTTACCAGACAAACAGACACAGACAGTTGTAGGGAGTATTATCTGTTACATAAGACTGACTTGTTGTACAGTTGTAGGGAGCATTATCTGAGTTGTAGGGAGTATTATCTGTGGCATAAGGGTGAGTTGTTGTACAGTTGTAGGGAGTATTATCTGAGTTGTAGGGAGTATTATCTGTTGCATAAGGGTGAGTTGTACAGTTGTAGGGAGTATTATCTGTTATATAAACATGAGTTGTTGTACAGTTGTAGGGAGTATTATCTGAGTTGTTGTACAGTTGTAGGGAGTATTATCTGTTATATAAACAGTTGTTGTACAGTTGTAGGGAGTATTATCTGTGGCATAAGGGTGAGTTGTTGTACAGTTGTAGGGAGTATTATCTGTTATATAAACATGAGTTGTTGTACAGTTGTAGGGAGTATTATCTGTTATATAAACATGAGTTGTTGTACAGTTGTAGGGAGTATTATCTGTTACATAAACATGAGTTGTTGTACAGTTGTAGGGAGTATTATCTGTTATATAAACATGAGTTGTTGTACAGTTGTAGGGAGTATTATCTGTTACATAAACATGAGTTGTTGTACAGTTGTAGGGAGTATTATCTGTTACATAAACATGAGTTGTTGTACAGTTGTAGGGAGTATTATCTGTTACATAAGGGTGAGTTGGCGCGTTCATGTTCACACACTAAATATTTGATGCAGGTAGTTAAAAAATAAATAAATAAATAAATTGCAGTAAAAAGTATCGCTTAAGATCATTTGAGTCATTCACCTGGAATTCTGAGGGCCTCATTTGGTCCCCAGGCCATAGTTTGGACATGTCTGAGCCAGAGGATTATATCTATTGTGTAAATCAAAAAAGTAAAAAAAAGTAAATCAAAAAGTAAAAATACTCTGGCAAAGTTATGTCAGTAAAAAAGACATTTTAAATGGAAGTCAATGGGACAAAAATGTGTGAGTATTTAGATTATAGTTTAATTAATGTGATCTTGGAAAAAAAACACAGAAATTAAAAATACATCACAAAATACACAGACTGACCAATCCATTTTTGGTGCTATTTGGTGCATTATCGCCAAAGTAACGCAAAAATAGAAAAGTTGAGATGTACAAAAATGTGCCCAGGGGTGTATGACGGTTAAATAACTTCCACAAATGCAGCTTATAAAAATAATCTTGCAGTAGAGTTGTGTAATCCATGAAGTGGGTGTTGTACGGTGTTTGTCCAGAAGGTGGCGCCTCAGCCTCGCGCGTCCGGGTGAGTGCAGACAGTGCCTCTCTGTGTGTGCGTCTCTCTGGGTACACCGTGTGCTGAGGCCGGATCAGGACGTTCGTGAGCCGAGCTGTGAGGACGGGCATCTGCAGCGCCCCCTCTGTCCATCTGCGAAGTCTGAGAGGACGCGGACATGTCAGGAATCACAACACGGCCACGCTTCAACGTCCCCGGTCATCAGAATGCTCAAAATTATATAAACGAGACAAAATGAAGCAGACATCATAATTTAAATGATTCGCTGATTTTAACAGATGCAAATATGAACAAAAAAATTACAGCAATTTTTTAATGCCCAAACATTAAATGAACAAACACCATTTTCTATTTTTTTTTTTCCCCCGTATCCAGTGCTATAATCAAGAAGTGCAATACCCACATATTAAGATGAACTTTTTCCCCCTTGGACTCCTACTAGGAACAAACCGTACATGTATGTCTAGGGCTAAACATAGAGCATAATCACATAAAAGAAAATAAACTTCCACGAGTGATTCTAAATGATTTTTACACTCATGAACTTAATTGAAACACAGATATATTTGGTATCTTTGGAAACCACAGACTCTGAACTCTTCATTTATATATATTTAAATGTGATTCAACTCATTTACAGGTGGGTTCGGTCAAGTGTAACGGAGGGAAACAGGCAGATTTTTGACATTCAAATGTCTCTTATTCAGAAACTAGAGGAACTATTGAAATAAGTAAAGTATCAGAATGTAGGAAAGAGTTACACTCCAACAGGGTCAAGTTAAACCTGTGATATTCTTTCAAGTTGTTGACATAAAATAAAAAAACTCATGTCGGTAACGGAGGGAATGAAATATGCAGCACTTTTTGGGCAATAAATCCAAACAGTGATAACTCTTGGTTCTCACTTACATATCCTTAACAAACTGGTTTGAATATTTGCTTCATATAGTTTTCTACCATATGGAACAAGATTAGGTTGAAAAACCTCTTACTTTTTGACTAATGAGATTTTTTATTAAGAAAGGTCATGGTAACGGAGGGAAAAGTAACGGAGGGAAAATTGTGCAAACAAGTAGAAGGTGCAGGATTTTACATCATTTATCATCTTTTTTCTTCTGAATACTTTAATATTACTTCAAAATGAAAGGAAACTATTTCTATAAAATATGTCAGTCCTTCCAAGCTAATTTTTATCATTTTAAATACTTTTTTTTTTTTTTTTATCCTGTCCCTTCATCAACAGTTCAAAGATGGAATAACACAAGATATGATGAAATACATCCATTTATTTACATGATTTTCAGGTCTTTGAAATTTGGGAAATAATTTTTGTTCCATGTTTCATACATGGTCTGTTTAAAACGTATGGAACTTTAGAACCAAAAAATGGTACAGAAAAAAGGTCAACAGTTTCATAAACTAGAGTACATATGTATCTGTTCAATACATTTTTATATCAGATGAATTAACTTGAATTTTTGGCCTTGTTGTTTACTTCTGTTTGACTGGGCTCAGGTTTATAACAGCTCACTGAAAATGAGAGTTTACCTGGTCAGGTGCAAAATTTAAAACAAAAACTACATTCATCTGATATATGCATGTTCTGAGTATTATATTCACAAAAAAAAATACCAACATAAATAAAGTGACTGTACATGAGTGAAATGACTGTCAAATAAAGAGCTGCACTAAACCTGCACATGTACAATCTGCACACGTTTGATCGCTGAAAAGCTAAAACATGAACTATCTCCTACACGATGTACGATTACCATCATTAGCACATCTTCTGTCACAAAAAGAACACACAAAATCCACAGAGTCGTGTCCTTTAGTCCGACAGAAGCTGATCGCATCAGCGGCACAAGGAGAGAGCTGTTTTTATCAGCGCTAACAGTTTATGTAACGTCTTAAGTTCCGTTTCTGTAAAACGTAAACAAATGTGATCAAAGATGAATGATCTGATCAAACGGGCTGATGTGGCTCTACAGTGGTTCTGGTTTATATGTTGTAAAGTTGAGTTTATTTCTGCAGAAGATTTTAATGAAGAATCTGTTGGGTTTGAGCTGCGCAGTAGATTGTGGGAGATCTCAAAGCTCCTCACCGCTGGTTAAACTTCCCGATGCTAAAGGAGCTCATGGTTTGTATTTTTCCAGCTTTATTAATTAAAATGAAGTTAATTCTTCTGGGATATGAGTGTCTCTGTTTCTCAGCGCGCATGTAAACACAGTATCCCGAATACTGACAGAACCGGGATACTGATGTGCACGTCACTTTTGCCTCCAGTCGCCTCCATTCCAGAATTTTGAATATTTTTGTTTACAATTTTTAAAGGTCTATTTTATTTATTCTTTATTTCAGACGCAAATATTATCTGGTCCATAGTTTAAAACAAAAAACGGTTACAAAAAACATACAAACTAGTCCATAAAGTTGATTAAAAAGTGTGAAAAAGTAAAACTGGATACAAAGAACACACACAAAGCGCCCAAATTAATCCATAAAGTTGATTAAAACATGTGGAGATTGTGCGCCCGGTGCGTCTCGGGGCAGAGGTGTAACGGCCCGAGCTTTATCACAACGATCCTCACTCTGACACACATTCTCGCTCTTGTTGCATAACGTTGTGTCAGCGTTTTTAAAGGTCACATGTTTCCAATTGCAGCAAGAACAGGTGAATCTGGTCAATCAGACGCCACAAATCTAGAAAAATATTTAATTAAGATTTTTTTTTTTACAAGTATTGAGGTTACAATACGATTTGATTAGAGATTTATGTTTTGAAAGTGGGTTTCTGTTAAGACTTTACATTTTAAAGACGTCCAGGGGAGAGAAAACTGGAATATGAACTGAAACTAGCACAAGAATCTCAACGAGTTTGTAGAAGTCTTAAAAGGACTAAAATTCTCATACTTCTTATGGGTCGTATATTTCGCAACATTGATTCTTGTGAACTTTAAGCTTTGTTAGAATGTTAAAGCTCATAAGAGTCAGTGTTGTGAAATATCGACCCATAAGAACTATGAGAATTTTAGTCCTTTTAAGACTTTGTTATAATGTTGTTCCCTCCTCAAAAACAGACCTGGAGTTGTGTTTTGTGTCATTCACACATGTTTGAGTAACTCTTTAGTATTTATTATATAAATGTGGTTTAGCATTTGATCAGAAGTGCAAGGAACAGGAAGTGTGATATTTACAGAAGGACAAAACTTCAAGTTAATTCATCTGATATAAAAATGTA